TTAAACATGCTTAATTTTAACCAAGTAATGCACAGTCCCAGAAATCAAATCCTATTGAATTTAAGTCTGTATTTGAAGCCCTTGTTGACTCAGGGCCTAGAGCAAGACTCAAGGTATGTCTAGACCACTTCCATGTGGTGCCAGGATACCATGCTGACATTCACCACACTTGCTCTGTGTGCATGACTACCCAAACCCACAGTAGTGTACCCCTCTGCTTTAGCATGATGCTAGGTGCCAAGAAGGCTCTGCCTCTCAGGGAAGTCTATTGGCTTGTGTCCAGCACTGCACTGAGTGGGTCAGCATCTCTGTAGCCTGCCTCGGGGAGGTGCTGCTCAGCACTGTACTAGGGCAGGACAGACTGCACTCCCAGGGAGAAGGGTTTTGTCTTGTGTGAAGGGGTGCTAGGACCCCATTTCCCTGGAGCCAAGAACAGTAAGGATTGGACATGAATTTTTCCAGCCGCTTCAGATACACTTGCAGGTATGAGTTCTGTTTGTTTTGAACAATAGTCATGGGCTCTTGCCTTTCCAGACATCCAAACACATACCAATCCAGCACCTCACACCACAACACAGGAGGTCTGTCAAAAAGGCATGCTTCTTGCTCCAGCTCCTGTGGCCCTACATCAACAGTAGACAACAGCAGTCAAAGCAGCACTTGCTGTCCATTCACCAGGGTAGCTTGGGTTCCCTAATTTGGAGCATGCCAGCACTGTAGTCCAAGGGGAACCTGCACCTTGGGTAGATGTAGCTAACCGAATCTGAAACTGGCTACTGTAGGTACTGATAATAACCACCTGGCTGCTGCAGTAGGCAGACCAGTGTAGCCAAACTATCCAAATACTTATATTGGGTCCATGAGGGATTTTGCTGGGGTGAACTCCAGGATGTGCTAGCTATGCTGTTTTGGGGATCTGAGCTGGCTAATTTAACACTTATGTGAGGCTTTGTATCCAAGCTGCAGTCATACTGCAATGGAAACATACCCTCTGTCAGCCAAACCACATTGAGACACACCCTCCCCCTCCTCCTCCACCTCCCCGTTGGGATACAGAGGCCAGTCTCCTTTATACTAGGAGGAAGTGGATGGAGTAGCTCCCCTGAGGATGGTAGTCATGCTGTTTTACAGCTGTGGGGGCCCTTAAGAGTTGTTCAACCCTAGACTTTCTGGTGATTACAGAAGGCCGAAGAACTGTTAAACCACTGCCCCCCTCATCCCCCCCCCCCCAATGGCATCAGCTGCAGCTAGAAAGGAGTCCAAAGAGGGCAGACCACTCATTTCTCGCAGCATAGCTTTCTGGGCAATGAGTCACTTGTTTCTACTAGAAGTGCCTGCATACTTGCCTAGAGAGGCTGCTTATTTTTGCAGGCATTGTAGGAATAATCCCAGCACACACATCTTACATGAGCATTTTTATGTCTGTTGGCAGTCATGCAAGGGAAAGTAGTTTGTGTGAAGGGGGATGAAGGGAGAGTGGCAGGAGTATAAGAGTCAGCCTGGTGGCTCTCTTAGGATGCAAGTTCTTTTACAGAGGTTTATTTGCTTAATGTGTGGCTTTATTCATGGTTTTGTTTTAAAAGGCTGGCGTGCTTGGAGTTTGCTTCCTCAGCTCATCCTCAAGGAAGCAGCTGACACGTTTGAAACTGGGCACTGCAGAAGATGGGCACAGTGCAGGGAAAAGAAGGGGCAGGGAGAAGACAGTACTGGAGGACCTGTGGGAATGCAAAAGTGAAGGGATGGGAGGGGCTGGAGGTGGTTTGCCTGCTTTTGCAAGAGTCTCTCTCTCTCTAGGAGGACTGTCAAGTTCTGCGCCATCAGAAACAGCTTTGTCTCAGGTGCTCACAAAATATTTGTGAGGAGCTTGGTCTTTGTTTTCAGACTAGTGTAGATTTGCACTATGGATCAGGTAGCTGAGAAGACACTGCTGGAAGGCAAAGACTCTGCTCTCCCCTCACCAGGTCTTCTCAGCCCCTCCAATCTTGAAATGCCACAAGATGACAGATGCAAGCAATATGTGTGGATTAGCACCTCCCTGTTCAGTCTTCCAAGAGGAAATTTGCAGCCAGTTTGTTCAATAATAGCCGTGTTGCCAAACTCCTTCCAGGCTGGTCATTTATATAAAGGACTATCTTTGTCCAAATAGAAATGCGAAACATTTAGATGCATTTAACCCTTACCTGGAAAACTCGTCTCTTCAGCACAAAGTTAGGTGTGGACAGTGCTCCCTGTTAAAATCCAGATAGCGCACCACTCAACCAAGCTACAATGGCCAAGGAAAGGATGAGAGTCCACTGAATGAGGAGCCAGCTGGGGGTTGAAAGCACTGGGACCTGTTCCCAGCTCTGCCATAGGTGTGTTCAGCAATGGGTGACCAGTCTCTAAGGACTCAAAGCTGAACACTAAGATGCCTAGCTCTCGGAAGCCTGACGCTCAAAGCAGAAACCATAGCCCAGGCTCCCTACGCTGTGCACCTCACCCCACCTCTTTCCTGAGTGTAGGTAAAACTCAGGACTGCAGGAAGGCGCCCCTCTCCACTTAGGTTTCACAACCCTCAGCCCTTCTCTGGAAGCAGGCACCCAAGCTGCCTCTTTCCAAAAATATCCAAGCAGGAGTCAGTTTTTTCTTTCAAAGTACAGTACTGGAAGTGGGGAACCTGGGGTTTTAGGCTCATCCCGACCCAAGGGGATTTAAGCCTACGCAGCTCCCCCTTACCTTTCCCTGGGCACTACCCATCTAGTTCACGGGGGGGGAGGCACAACCTATGGCCTGAAGAACCAGTAGATCTGGCCTATGGGGAAGGGGCTTCAGCAGCAGGCACTTTCCCATTCTCCTGCAGGGACAAGCAGCAGAAGCCAGCTCCTAGTCCCCACCTTCCTAATTCTGACCTAGGGTGGGTCATTCCAAGCTGCAGCCAGAAAAGGTTGCCACCCCTGACTTAGCCTGTAGAATGAGGCAGAGGTGTGCTGGAGGAGTGACATGGTCATGACCTACAGCTAGAGCAAGAGATCCACCTTGCTTGAATTCATCAAAGATTCACAGAACCAAAAATGGTGAACAAAAGCATAACACTGTTGGGATACTCAACAGGGAGAGGGCAGCTCTTGGAGAAGGGACTGCAACCTAGGACCATTTCTGTATTTCACATTTAACCACCACTGAATACAATGCATCAGCAGGGACTGGAAGCTAGCACTACCACCTCCGAGTTGACTGCCGTAACCACCAAGCTAGGGAACCACACTGTTGCTTGTGCAAGCCCTTGCATATTTTCCATCTCTGAGTATCATAGCTGACTCCAAAAAAAGCAGAACTGCTTCAATAGGAGGGGCAAAGAGTGTCCCGCCTTGTGATACCCTATATCATGGTGGTTGGGGCCCCCTCCTGGGATGGAGGTTTGAACCCTACACCTCCACCTCAGCACACTAAGCTCTCTGATATAAGGGGAAGGCACCTCTTCCTCAACTTGCATTTTGTATGGAGCCTGACTGCAGCCAGGTACAAGTTTGGGTTAACTGAGTAAGTAAGAAAGTATTTAAGAACAATTTTTATATATTACACACACACACACACACACACACACACACACACACACACTTATATTTTAAACATTTTTTTTCATGTAATTTACAAACAAACCACATACCTTTACAAAAAGTAAAAGACGTTACCAGATTCTGTTCAAGGGGCTGGTCTGTGTTTAGAGGACGTTACAAGTGGATGCCATAAGTAAGTCTAAGTAATGGGTGTAGCCCTTTTGTACTCAATATTGCTATCTCCTCCCTCTCCCTGAGACAGGGCACAGCAAGGAAACAGAATAAGTGCATCCATAGAAATGGTCTTAACCATTTTCTGTCTTCTAGCCGCAGACACTGGTTGGATTTTACTCTTGCTATCAGAGCTCAGTGGCTTTACATACACAGAGTGCAGCCCTCCCGCAATGCTGGTTTACACCAGGGGTGTCCAACCTTTTTGAATGTGGGGCCAGATCACGAACTTTTTATCACCCAGTGGGCCGGCAAGCCATATTCAAAGACCTCACAGGAAGAAGTATCACATCAGGAAGTGATGTCACGTGACCTTTGACACCAATGAAGTTGCAGAAAGTGACAATGAAATGGGTCTGGAAACGTGGTTTAAAATCCAAAATAAGAACAATATAAAAGCAATAATGAAATAATACCAAACACTTGACTAAAATAAATACTCAGGTTATGGCAGCAAGCTATTTTGGCATTCCTTCCTTGTCAGCCTGGCAGCTTCGCAGGGAAAGGGGCCAGGCCTTGGGTGCTGCTTGGGGCCCCGGCCACATTTTGCCCAAACCCATCGTCCCAGACACTCACTGCTTGGAAAAAAAACAAGCTGGAATCAGGGGCTCAGCAGGCCATACCCAACCTCCTTCTAGCTGCCTTGGCCTGAGTTCCTCAGAGTTTTGCATCCTATTATTATTTTTTAAAGGTGGTGATGGCTGAGACCTCTCTCCCATACCACACAAGGTGTCTGAGACAGAAGGGTGCCTGTTCTGCTGCCCTGGTGGCTGTGGACACTGCCTTGGAGGGGGAGGCAAAAGGTCAGGGATGCCCCTGCCTTCCCTGCATTGTTCTCTAGCCTCCTCCAGCTGAGCCCTCTCTAGTGCAACCTTGTATTAATTTTTATTTTTTACTCTTTGGGCCCCTGTGCCCCCTTGGCCATGCCCATACAGACCGGGAGAGAAATGGCCTCCACCTGTGGTGTTTGGTGGCTCTGGGCTGGGGGTGCAGCTCCAAGGCAGCCTGTCCTGAGCGAGCGACCTCGGGCCAGAGAAAATGGCTTGGTAGACTGCATGGCAGCCTGCAGGCCGTATGTTGGACAAGCCTGGTTTACATCATTTTCCTGTGCTTCTGAGCCTGCTTTACACTTTGGCCCCTCCTCATCAGAACTGTACCTAGACCCCGGTGGCCCCGGGCAAACTTTTAGTATCGAGTCCCCCTTCGCTAGAGATAATGATAATAATAATAAAAAAATTACTATGTTCGGGCCCCCAGTCTGTCTAGGCCCCAAGCAGCCACCCAGTACACCCATACCTGTGTCCAGCCCTGCTTATCATTCAACCTTAGGTCATATAGGATCCACTGAACTTGCTTGGAAGGTCAATTTGCCCATAACAGGTTCCTTCTGATTTTTTAACTACAGGGCTGATCACCAAGAGATTCCCTGACACACACTTTTTTTGTAGCAAAAGCTTGGAAGACTGTGTACAATACACAACTGAAGAGTGTTCCTTGATAAGAAATTCACAGGCCCACAGCAAGGTAAGAGTCTCATGGCTTCTCATGTCCACTAGTTATCTTTCACATTCATCATGGTTCTTCATAAAATTCAGGCTGGCTTCAGCCTGAATTTTCTATTTTCATTGTCTCACAGACTCAGTTTTGGAATGGACCCTATGAATCGTCTACATCCAAGCCTCTCTGCACGTTCAAGATACGAATACAGAACCTTGGGCTTTAAACATACTCAAATACTGCAAGACTTGTAATAAAAATGGAGTTTTTACAACACTTGCATAAGTACAGCTTCCATTCCAGTTCAAGAGCAGGTTGGGTCCTTAGCTCAGAAAGTCACTTCTAAAGAACCAAAGATCATTCTTTCCCATCTTCCACTGAGTTCCACCAAGGGAAAGAATTTAGAAGAAACTTATTTACTGCTGCAGGCTGAACCTGTCTTTTCTCTGAATCTGTTTCTCTTTTTCATCTAAACTGTACAAAAATAGGCAGTATATCACAGGGATTAGTTTTTCATACACATCAAGAGTAGGGTGTTGTTAATCGCTAAGAACTGGCATGAATAAATGAAGCGCTGTGACTGCTTGTAAAAATTAAGGACTGAAGGGATGAATGGGAAGGCATTTGGTGTGTGATTCAATAGATGTCCATCTTCAAACATTCCCAGTACGTCCATCTTCAAAACAATCTCCATATGGAAAAGGAAATATTTCCCAGGAAGATAACACATCTTTTACTACACCACCACATAGCACAGCCTTCCAGGACACATGACATTCTTTATGTTTCCTTTGCTTAGCTCTTCTTCTGTCACAACACAGTAGTTTGGCTTGCTGGACTGTAACCCTGGCTCCTTTCACAGTTTAAATGCCTGAAATAAAAACATATGGATTCATGAGGTCTGTTATTCTAGTCAGTGACTCTTTAGTGGTGCTATTAGTGTCATGTAGAGAGAGAAAAACCTATAAGGCTATTCTAACTTATTCCCCTCTTCTCTTACCAGAATAAACTACATGGCTTAAGTTTGTGGAGTGATGTCCGAGTCATGCAGCCTGGTTTTTATGAGGTTTTCCTGGTATAAGTGTACCCACAGTTGAGGTTGTCTTGCTTGAACTGGACACATTAAAAATTATACATGTAACCAAAATAGCTAAATCAGTACAAAAAGGAGGTGTAGACAAGAGCTGGGCAAATAATGAATTGTTTATCCTAATGGCTGGACAATAAAATAAAATAACTAAAATAAAAGTTGAGATGAAGCAATACAGAATATTTAATAATGCTTTGATGACACCAAAAAAAGATAAAACCAAACAGAAAAATGTTTCAGGTCAACCCCATACATTTCATTCTACCTTAAAAGTAATCTGTTATTCCATTTTCAGCTCCTTTCACCCCTTTTAAAAACTTTTTCTTTTTAAAAAATTCAGGCCAATCTTTACATGAAAAAAGCTGTTGCACAACCCATCCAGTCAAGAAGCTTTGCTTTGAAAATCTTAAGGTGTTCAGCAATTTCCAATGTGAATTATTATAATGTTTAGAAAATGTTAAAATGTTTTGACATATTCAAAATGGTTCATCCTATTTTTTTCAGCTGAAATCCTTTGCTAAATTTAATCCAAGTATACAGGTACTCCAAAATGCCAATTTTCAGCCAATTCACTACTGGTCAAAACCTTTTTACTTAGCTCTAGGGTAGACCAGGCCTTACAAGGAAAAAACTCAAAACACAGGAAGCCACCCTCGCTCTCTGCCTTGGGTTCAGTTCTCAGTTACCCAATATACCATCCTGGAAGTGTAAAGTGGCTTCAGCCTGAATGACAATCAGGCCCCTTGGGGAACAAACTGCCCAAGTGCAAAGCAGGTGCAGCGGTCTCTCAAATCAGACCAGGTGCAATTTGTGAGAACTGGGTACATTAACAGGATTGTAACTGTATAGTGTTTGGGGCTGTTACTGTAAACTAACAACAGAGGAAAAAGAAAGGATGCTTATAACCAAAAAAGCAGAGGTTATCAGCAGCAAATACATCACAGGTCCCAAAACCAGCGTGGTTGATTGCCCTGATTATGTAGATTTAAAGTTCATAGAGGGTCAATGTCTGCTGAGGTTTGTGAGGCCCCTGGCAGACATTCATTTAAACACACCTTGGGATCTGATCCCAACAACTGAGCCTCCAGCCATGCCACAGGTGCATGGCAGGAGGTGCAATTTGGGATTGAGGATCAGATCCCAATCACACCCTAGTTGGTAGTACAGGGGGAGCCTGAGATTATGATCCTGGACTCCCCCTTCACTGGCAAATTGAAAGCCACATGCCCACAGGTTTGGGACTGGGGCCAACAATAAGCTGACTATCAGGCAGGCAGGGACTGCACTGGGGCTGGTTCAAGACCCTGGTGTGGTTAGTGGCCCAAGGCAATGGTCAGCTCAGCCATATATTCAGTTTAGAGAGCCATATAAACCAGCCACATAACTGTTCTACGTTATATGTGGAACAATGTTATAGCTAGTTTGCCATTTTACGGCACCTTAAATTGGTCACAGAGCTGGAGCTGATGATGTGAGTGATCGCCCAGGGCCCCGTGGTCAGGAAGGCACCCCCCCCCCCGGCCCCTTACCCTTACACACACACCCACACACACACACCCACACC